TATAATTTATGTACAGTTAAATACATTGCACAGTTCATTTTTCAGTCTTTCTCTCACATCCTACTATAAGCACCAAGGACAAACCACAAGGTCTCTTTAAGATTTTGCTTAGAAATCTCAAGAGCCAGATATCCAAGTTCATCACTTACAAGTTCTACCTTCCATCAAACATCTGAACTTAATTCAGGCAAGTTCTTTGTCATTGGGCAAAAAGCATTGCTCTTCCTTCATTGTCCAATCACATTGTATCATTTTTTTTTAAAGCCCCATCAGAAGCCTATTTAATGTCCATATTTCTAGCAATGTTCTCTTCAAGGCAATCTAGGCTTTCAAGGCAGTCTAAGCTTTCACTATTTTGCACCTTGAAACTCTTACAGCCTCTGCCCATCAGCCATTTCCAAAACAGCTTCTACATTTTAAGTATTTGTTAGAACAGCACCCTACTCTGCCAGTACCAAATTTTGTTTTAGTTATCTATTCTGCTTTAATAGAAATACCACAAGTGGATGGTTTTAACAAACAGAACTCTTTTCTTTCTTTCTTTTTTTTTTTTTTTTTCACAGTTTATGAGTCTAGAAGTCCAAATTCAGACTGCCAACTCTAAGGGAAGGCTTCTCTCTCTGTTGGCTCTGGAAGAAAGTTCCTTGTCTCTTCAGCTTCTGCTTCCTGGCTCCTTGGAGATCTCCACATATCTTGGCATCTATCTTACCACATCTCTGCTTGCTAGCTTGAGTTTAATGTCTTTTTATATCTCAAAAGAGATTGACTCAATACACACCCTACACTGAAACTGTCTCATTAACCTAATAACAAAGACAACCCATTCACAAATGGGATTATAACCACAGGCTTAGAGGTTATGGTTTATAACATATACTTTTGGGGGGACAAAATTCACTCCAAAATACCCATTAATACAAAGCAGGGTTGGAAAGAATATTTTCACAGGGTCTCTAATTTCTGAGTATGGCCATTCACTTTGTCACCAAACCCCATATTGTGTACAAGGGCTTCTTTTGCAATCAGTTTTTGACTGTGGAAAAATGTTCAATCTATGTTGCTCATGTCTTAGGAGACAGGATGGAGAATTTCATAGTATAAAAATCTGACTCCATGTGTCATCAGATCTTGTCTATGTACCAGCATCCTGAACTGCTTCCCTCTTTTTTTCTCCTCCGCTTGTTCTCCAATAACTACCTCTGTTACAGAAATGGGCCTGTCAGAGTGCAGCAGTCTGTTAATCTTTGTTTTGTAACAGCACAGAACAAGTCTAGGCATGGTGTGGAAAGGGGAAAAGACAGACCCCAGAAAGATGCCTCAAGCTCTCTCACTTTGAGGGAGGAAAGGTTCTCCATAGACCTCACAGTCCATCAGTCACAGTAGGATCCTAAATTTGAAAACAAAACTCACAATGGGCACATAACACAATTATTTAGGAGTGAAAATGTTTGTACTATACAATATCACAGCCCTACTAAATTTAAAACTTTAAACATTAAAAATATTTAAATCTTTAAAAGATCATCTATACTCTACTTTTCACATTTCAACAAAAAAGGAAGAGAAAGCAACCGGGGCAAAAGATTAGTAATTGTTTAACTTGGTGATAGGTATGGGAGTGTTATACTGATTTTTACTTTCTATATATTTGATAATTTTCTATAGTACATTTTTAAAGGCACATGTTGTCTTTAAGGAGGAGAATATCTTTTCCTATGCAAGTAAATGACAAATTATTTTCCTGGAGCCAGTCTTGCTGAAAAGAAAAGGAACGTTGTAAACATGATAGCCAAGATGGTAATCCTCATTGTGAATACCCAGAATTATCTAGCCTTCTCACTCAATTTGGATAGAAACTATATTAAAAATCAACTTGGGATAAAATAAATTATAATTATTTCCAAATCTTAACAAAGTCCTAAATATTTATTCATCTGGATCATTTTCACCAGCTTGAGTAGAAGCACACTTCTGATGCCATTTATTCTTCAGAAGATAAGAATATAAAATGGACCCAGACATAGGTCAGAACAGGGAGAGGACTGTAAATTAGAACAGCAACTTAATCCCAGGGGCTTCTGGGCCTCTGATCAGTTTCTTCCCACCCTGACACAGCATTACTAAAATGGCAACGGAGCAGTCACTCTCTTGACAGGCAGCACCAAACATGGAGAGCATAGCAGTGAGACAGGGGGACATAGAACTTGGACAGGGAGGGTAGCAACCAGTGTTTACAAACATAAACCAGGGAATCAGATGGGCCAGCCATAAATTACCTGAGATCGCACTCAAATCTCTGAAAATAAATTAGCAAGACCTTAGGCATTTCTACCTTATATTCTAACTAACCCACCACCACCATAGCTTCTCTGCAAACAATGCTCATCCCAAAATGGTACCACTACCATTCTTGCTGAAATAAAATCTTAGCTCACCAAGGAAGGGAATTATGGAAACCTCAGCAGAGAAGCAAGACCAAAATGGTCTGCTTGACTGACTCAAGAGTATACTTCTGGAGATCCTGGGAGACGTTGCTGGCTAAACCTTTTGAGAGATGCCCACCCCATTCTTCACATCAGTAGTGCTATGTTATTAATCTTTGGTTTACCAAGGTAAAAGAATAATTAGGAGTATTCTAAAGTTGATCCCTTTCCTTTCTTGGTCCCAATTCTAAGCTATTCCACCAAAAGAAATCAAAATAACAATGATAATAATAATAAACAAAGTAGATTACAGACCTCTTTGCTCCTAAACTATGTATTTTTAACCAGACTCCCAGATATTTGAAGGAAAAGACCCCCAAAGCTACAAATAGTCCAACCTCTACCACCAGAGCGTCTTCCAAGTCGACCGCCGTGGTGTCTCACCAACCGAAAATGACGAGCCTTCACAGTGGACAACCAGAGAGCCCAGTGGTGAGGTCAGCAGCGTGTACTGCCCCGCCCTATTGAGGCAATCTTACTCTCTGACACTGAGGAACAAGCCCAGGCTGCCCTGGATCTCTCTTTGCTGTACCTACAGCAAAGGGGGAAAGAAGCCCCACTTTCACCAGGAGCACCAACAAGATTAATTTCTCAGTGACTGACAGACCACCCCTGTATGCAACAAAGTCCATGGCAAAACAGTGAGTAGGATCTACAACTCTTCCTAACTATTCCCATTTTTAAGTCTGCGGTCATCTTAATTGGTACTATTTAGTACCTGTCCTTAGATTATGCAGATACAACAGAACAGCTTTTTATCATGAACATCAACTCTCCATAAGAAAAAAGGAGAGTATGGCTACCCCTTTCATTAAACTCTTACAAATAGGAAGACAACTTCTTAAAAATGGGAAATGTGTAGATGATAATGTTCTCCTCTGAAAAAGATGAAACAATTAAAATCATAGTGAGAAACAAGTGCAGGGTAAATCCACTGAGAATCACTCAAAGTCAACCAAACAAGAATATCTCTACAAAAGTAGATTGCCTAATCTCCTTTCCAAGGAGTGGCTGGTGGATTTGAACCACCAGCCTTCTGGTTAGCAGTCAAAATGCCTTGGGCACTATGACACCAGAGCTCCCAACAAGAATAAATAAAATATAAAATCTAGAGCTACACAGAGGAAATCTGAACATGTTTGTAGCTGCAAGAAAATCCATCGACAACAGAAAAATGTCTGGGCATTTCCAGGAGGGGTATAGCCTCCACAGTGTTCTCCTTCCCTTTAGAGCCCACCAACCTTTAGGGAAGTCGTGCCTTTGTGGTAATTAAGTTAACGGGGGCAAGCTTGAGGAGGGGGAAGGCAGCAAGGTAGAGCATATCAAAGGAATTCAGAACCAACCATATTCTATGGAACATTAAACAAAGACAGAATGCATCACTGGAAAGACAAGGAAGAGAATGGCAGAGCTGTCCTACAAACACAAAACTACCAACTTGCTCACCCACATGACCTGTTGCAATGCAAGATGTTCAAAGGAACCCAGAAACACCTTTGGTCAACGTATTTTAGGAGATTGGTTGGAGTAATAGAGAAGAAAAAAAGGTGACTATCTCTCAGTACCACTATCAGGAATAAGACGCTACAGAGGAAGAGTGAGTGTGTGTAGTGCCCCCAAAGGATGGTCTCTGACACAAAAGGGCACAACTGGGATGGACACAAGATAGGGCACCCCTACTGGATTAAGGAACATTGTGTGGAAGGAACAGGTATTAAGTGGATAAAGTCCTTCTGCCAGGGCTTAGCTCCCCTGACCTCAGAGTTGTTCTCTATTCATTGTGCCCAGGCAGATGTCCCACCACCCCGTCTTGGGAAGATCCACAATAACAACAGTTGTCAGATGAGGCCAGAAAGAACAATAGGTTGGGGAATAATTCATGAAAATTTATCTAGCCCCTTGAAATTTTGTCAGAGGAATGGATGCATTTGTTGAACTTGTACTTTTCATGGAGACTTATGAGTAATATTAAGGATCTCTGCCCTTCTTGAAGGTCACTTTAACAACTATATAAATGTCAATCTGGTCAGAGGTGAGAAAGAGGAAGAATTTCCCACAGGAAGAACTGATACCTGTAGCTTTACCGGAAGTTCATCACAGTTGCCGCTTCCTCCATTCCATCACCATTGGTTAAGTCTGAGAGACAGTAACTTTTGAAGTAGTTATTGATAAGAATATAGAGCTAACAGAGGAGGGATAGCTAGAGATACCATCTGGTATAAAGCCCCTTTTTAGAAAAATGAGAGAACAGTCTCAGAGAGGTGAAATGACTGGCACAATGCAAATTAGAGGACAACTTGACACTAGAACCCAGAGCTTCTGGCTTACAGTTCAATGTTTTTGTCTGCTTGTTTTTATTTTCTTTGGTATATCAAAATAATAAGGAAAACTATGGAAAAGAAGACAAGAAGAAGAAGGTCTATTTTGATGTTTTGTAGCCAAGGGAAGGAGAATGCTATTTTACACAAAAACCCAGGCTAATCATGACTGTGCTTGGTAGGGGAGTGAGGGTATTACCTTTCAACACCAATGGTTCTTTGCCTTCTCTCTTCAGGGACTCAAGGACTATGTGGAGTGGCTGGGAGGGCATCACTCGGCTTGGCTCATTGGTATTCTCATCATAAACAATAATTTCTTTGGAAAAGATCCTCTTGAAAGAGTCCTTGCCTTCCCTACAGGAAATCAAGTCTAGAACAGTGATCTTGCCCTGTTGCAGTCTCCGTCGGCTAATCTTATCGGCACAGTTAATGTGGACAGCTCCTTGGATGTGACTCTTGTTGTACTCCATGAAAGGCCTGCAATCAATGATGACAGGGCCCTGACTTGGCAGGTGACTCTTGCTACATTTGGTCATCTTCTTTGCCAAGTCATTGGGATAGATAATTTTGATGCTGGCTAGTTGCTTGGGGGTTCCTGACACAGGACTGCCCACTCCACCTGATGTACTTAAAGGGCCTGTATTCTCATTGTTGTTGACCATCTGGTAAGCAGGGCAGGTTGTAGAGGTTCCAATGGTGGTGGTGGTGGTGCCAGCGGCAATGGCTTGGGTTTGGGTCTGATTGTCCTTGTCGTAGGTTGCCACAGTGCAGCAGCTGGCACTGCTGCATCCACAATTCAGAGAGCGGGCAGAGCCGCTGGATGAGGGCATATACGTCAGATTCGCAGCCTTGAGGGACACAACGGTGGTGGCGATGACAGGAGGGTGGCTGTCACTGCCTGGGGTGGCAGAGCCAAGGTAGCTAGAGTCTAAACAAAGATTGAGATCCTGAGGTCGGACGGGCCTAGACAGTGCCACTACTACCCTGTCGTCTAAAGGAGACGGAGGCATGAGGAGGCTGAAAACTGGCAATTCAAGAAGAACTCAAGACAGTCTGCAAAGAAGGGGAGAGGGAAAAGAGACAATAAAGTCATGTGACATAAAAGGCAATCTAATCCAATCCCTCAGGAAAGACCTTTGCAATCCTCTGAGTAAAGTCATCTAAGTGCCCTTTAGCATGCCATTATCAAAGCTTGAGACTCATTTTTCACCTGTTCAAAGATGATGTACCCTGAGGGCCCCATCTAATTTGGTTGATAAGTCAAAGGTTAAACATAGTCTATGCAAATGTTGATGAACCACCTTTCATAGACTTACATCAAAGTTCAGCCTAGAAAAGATAAAAACCCAAAGAATTAGATAAGCTGAAGACAGGAAGGAAGGCTCTTAGGAGACCCTCTATTCTGGGCCTTAGCTCCCAGGCAGAAATATACAGCATCCATCTGAGAAAGACCCATGTGTCCACTCTTGTATGTTTCCCACTTAATTCCTTCATCCACTGCAAAAGCAAAGGGATGATCAAGAGTGTTGGCATGGCTTACAGAAATATACAGCAGCTAAATATACATCAGGGGCAGATGTCAACTTTCTGCAAATCAGAATGAAAGTGTCCCCCTAAATAAATCTCTTTCACTAGGAACTATTCTTGCTTTCCAGGTTACCAGACCATTTGAAAAGCACAACATAGTCAGATTAAAACCTCCCATGTTTCCTGTTAGCCTCTCGTAAATTAATCTGCATTTCCCCTTTTCACTATAAACTGGTGTCCTAAAACAAAGCCTCAACCCTAGGACTCTCAGGCCTGGAAATCCCAACCTTGGCAGACACATCAACCATTGCTCCCTGA